CTGGTTTTCAGTCTGTTATTATTGTTGTATCGCCATTGTAATGGAATTAGTTGATAGTAATTATTTGTTTGCTGCTCGCTTGGAGGTGTCCACTTCGATTTTTTTCTGTTTTCTATCGGGCTATTAACGATTGCGTATGCCAAATTAGGAGCGTAACGTCGCTTGACAGCTGAACAATTTTATTGCTCCAATTAAAGTTACATTCATACATATATGGTAAGTACATTGGAACGTACCTACATATGTGTGTATATGAAGATATGTTGTCATTTTCAATTTAAAGAAATGAAAAGTGAAAATTCAAATGGATTTGTACTCAAAGTATCTTGTCATAAAAATTCAAAAATTGTGATGATTCGAAAAAAAATAATTCTTATAAATTTGTATATTCGGTTCCACTGAAAAAGCATAACTGTATTTTCGAAGTGGTTTCACAGATAACGTAGTTAGTTTTGTGCTTTTAGAAATATTAAATTCAGTGGGTTTAAGGCTTTCCCTTAAAATACATTTGACAGTAGCTCTACTCTATGCAGCTTTTTTAGCTCTTTACGACTTATGAAAGCACTTTCTTTGCAACCAACAACCGAGGTTAATTATTAAATGGAAAATGTATGGTAAACAACTCAAATAAATCAAAGCACTAAGTCATATATTAAATATGAGTAACATGTGAGATTTGTTATTGCTTTCTGGTTTTATGATATTTTTATTGCCAGTGCTCTGCATATTGTCAACATTGCTTGACAGCCCAACTGACACATGCTGAGTGACAACAAAAGGCAAAGCGTTAACGGAGTAGTAAAGTTCAAGCTGGCAAAGCATTTGAAAATTATAAACTATTTGCATTAGAATAACGAGCAGACGTTTTTTTTTTTTTGTTTGGCTGGAAATAAATGACACCTGCATTAAAATAGCCGTTCGTCGGCTGTATTGTCACTTTGAGCGGCTATAAAACCATCGTTAGCTCAACTCTGGCGCAAGTCCCGCAAATTTATGGTTATTATTTTTTAGTCTTTTTAAAGTCATTTATGTAGAGGTCAAGAGATCTACACACTTTTATGCTTATTTCTTTTTCACTATTCTTGTTTCTATTTATTTGTAAGAAATTTGGTTTTAAGATTTCTGTTTGTTTTTCCTCCTCATATTTTGCTGCTGCTCGACTGCTGGGCATTGTCAATTTCACCACAATATTTTGACTTAATCACCTGATACAGTTATAATTTGGCATGAAGGTCTTTTTGGCTTTGTGTTGGCAGTTAATTCATTGAAGCCTTTTCTCTAACCAAATAATTTTTATTTATCTGTCGCGTTTTATGTTGTTGACTTTTTTAATCATTATCTTTTATGTAAATTTTTACGCAATATATATTTGTATATGTATATATATTTAAATAATCCAAGATCCGAGATTTTCTATGAATGCATAATTATGGTTATATTCATCTTAAAGATTTCAACTAACAGCGTTGCTACTTTTTGTGAAAAGCGATGTTTTGTAGCAACTTTGGTTTTCTTAATTTTTCTATCACAGAGATGTTATGATTATATTATTTACATAAAAATTAAATTTTAAACGCGTCAAATTATTGAAATTCTTAGTATTAGGGCTACACTTAAAATGAACGGTGATTACAAAATCGACTCACTCCAATCATTTCGTTAAAATTTCTCAATAAATTTACCATAATATTTATTAATACACCACTTTAACTTTTCGTATGAATCTTGCCCCGACAAGAGATTGTACTCTAAAACACTGCATAAAGTCAATAAACTTGCTTATGGTGGATTTAAACGCTTTCTAATTAACGTACATATAATATTTCGAGCTTAGATATAAGCAAAACAATTTTTGCTAAATGAAATTATAGAAAAATCATTGAAAATCGCGCATTACTTGCAGTTCACACAATCACGTGTGTGTGAGTGACTTACTGGCAACATATGCACATACATACGCGTATGTAACATGTACGAGTAAAGTAGCACTGTTTGACCGTTTTGTTAAATAGAACTGCATAATAATTGTTGAATTGGAACGACCACAGCGAGTGCTAAATAGAGAAACTTTAACATAACATCTTTATCTGCTCCTAACTCTCACTCAAAGCGTTAATGATAGTCGGCAGTAAATTGGAAAGCCGTTAAAAGGGTCACATGCCATAAATGCAATTATATTTTTCCATAAAACAAGGTTAGCGGCCGATAATTGATGGCAGCAATTAACGTAGTGCCAAAGAGACTACTCGCCATAAGTATTTTTCACGCACACACGCACACTTTTTCTGGTTATAAAACTTAGCTGAGATGTGTGTGCCAGAGATCCATTTACCACCATAAGTATGCAGAAAGATGCCATTTCGCACTTCAATTGCATTTTCAGCATTTTATTTCACAATAATGCTCCATTCGCGACGCTGCCTGTTGCACTCAATAAAACTTCAAAGCCTTTTCAAATAGCTACAATAACAGTAATATTAATAATAAAACACTTGCACGCTTCGGTCAAACCGTAGACAATGATGAATTGCTTGCAGCAAAAATAGGAGAAAAACACACACACGCTAAAACAAAAAACAAAGTGCAACAATTATTCCACACCAACAATACAATGCTGGCAATAAATGCGTGTGTGGTCATTCTTATTTGCTAATGCATTTCTGCTGTCCCTCTTTGTTGTTGTTGTTGTTGAAATTGTGAAAAGATGCCGCCCCAAACTGGCGAATACATGTGTGTGTCTCACGCAAATATATAATAATAACGCAGTGCCACCAGTGCGATGCAGGTCAAACTTATTAAGAAAACGAGTTGGCATTATGCGACGTTCGACGCATTCAGAGTAAAAAAGTAGTAAAAAAGAAATTACATTAAAATCAACGCCACCAATGACAGCCACCAGCTCAGAAAGATCTCAGCCACCGATACGTCGGCTGTCAATTGCAACTTTGAAGTTTGCAAAGTCACAAAATTACATATAAAGTGCATTGAAAAATCTGCTGCTCCAATGTGTGTATGTGTGAGAGAGGTTGCCATCAGTGACAAATGCAGATTGCCGCTTTCGCGCAGCAATCTCTTACAAGATGTTGCGCACAATTGACATACGTAAGCATACAAGTGTTTGCGGATTTGGAAATCTAGACGTCTCCCTGTAGGGTAAACCTAAACTGAATATTGAACAGAAACGAAAAATGTTTCACTGATCGAACGAATTATTCGCATGTGACTCACAGTGTGCGTATAAACAAGCCCAATCAAACTAAGCTAACCAGAAAATTTTAAGAAAATTGCATTTTTGCAACCAGCGAAAGCTCCCCCTAGAGGGTATTCATAAACATACATATATACGCCGCTCCTAACATCTTCATTTGCTCTCTTCACACAGTTTGTTGACTTCGAAATGCTTAAGTTGTCCCCTGTTGTTACGAAGACGTGTTTTGTTGTTTGTTGTTGTTGTCATTGCTTGCTTGTTAAAAACGAATTTATGTTATTTCATCTTAATTAATTATTAATTGCTTGTTTCATAGCTGCAACTATGTATGTACCACGTACTCATTTCAAAGCTATTGTTTTCACTACACGCACATACATACATACACATGTGTGAGTTCGCTTTCCACAAAGATTTCATGCAACAAAGTGGCCGTTCATTTGACTTCCCATTTTTATTTTCTTTATTTGTTTACGTTCCTCTCCTACTCATCCACCTTCTGTAGTTATAGCTAATAGCCGCTTATGGTAAGTTGTGTTATATGGAATTGGAGCTTTTAAGTTCCCCGACATTTGAAAGCAATTGATGCAAGGGGTCAATTAATGAAATCGCTAGAATTTCAAACTTTTGCAAAAGCCGAATTGACAAACAGAGGGAAGCGTTTTTAAATGAACACTAACCAAATATATTTTATCTTAAAAAACTACATTGTAAACATAATTAAATTTTTCCCAAATTAATATAATATGTACGAACATTATTAAGTGGCAACCTTAGAAAACGTATATTATATTTGTACACCTATATAATGCAGTTCTTAATTTGATAAGTTTATTGAAGTTGGCAAACATATAACTCTACATAATTTAGTACAACTACAAGTATACCATTTTAATAAATTCATTTAAAAAAGATGGCATCCATAACGCATATTTTCGCACAAATAAATATGATAAAATGTAATTTTACAAATAAAAACAAAATAACTTTAGTATTCTATCTAGACATATTGTATGTTCCCAACTAAGTCATAGACACATGTTATAGCTATTTTGTAGTCTCTTATAAATCAATCAATCTCAGTTTTAATTACGCTCTCTCTATTTATTTTTATAAAGAAAAAAATAGCTGCCAACACTGCACGCATAACTTGTACTATCATATTAAATCATACTTTTCAAGAGATTTTTAAGATCTCAATTTAACCAACAAAAAGAAATGCGAAATCTATTGCTGAATATGCGCGTAGTTGTAAAAATCTAGGTTTCTTTGAGGTTGTAAGTCCACAGCAAAACTTTCGAAATAATAAATGATTTCCCAGCAAAAAAATCAAGTCATTAAAGTGTCTAAGCGCTAAAATACTGGCGAAATAAATAACGGTTGTAAAAGCTTTCAAATGCCGTATATGACAAACTAATTGCTGCCTACGTAAGTTGAGCTTCGAGACATTGATCGGTACTAAATCAGCATTTTATTAGAAATTTGACACGCACTTATTTTCCTAGTGACCAAAGCTAACAATTTTTCCGTTGTATTACCGTTACCATTTAGTGATGTTTACGAAAATCGCCCACGTCAAGTTGCTAGCGATGCTTTGTCTCGATTACGTGAAGTCGTTGTCTTTAAAAAGTTTGTGGGCGCATCAGTGAAGCTGACAGCAAACCACAAAAAAATAAGAAAAAAATAAATTTATATTAATTAATATATTAGAATTAATTAGATGCAATTTGCACCGCATATTTGAGCTGCTCACGCTTTAATAATTTATTTTTTAATTTTTTGTCATTTCCAGATAAATATTGAAAGCGAAACTTGCGGCGTGCACAAGCAATGCAAAGTTAATAAACACCGCAGCTGAGCAAATAACGAAACGTGCATAAATCATAGCAACAACAACAAAAACACGACAAATCACTGGAAATAATCGAAAATCTGACACCTCCGGAGCTGCGGGAAAAATAAAGCAGAGATAAATTAAAATCAAAACAAAAATATTCATAAGAAACCACGCGCCAAAGAGGAAGTTGAATTGTAACCAAAACAAAACTCAACAATAACAAACAAGTGAGCCTTTTATCAACTTTACATGAACGTGAAGTAGCGATAAAAATACAGTTGAAAGATTCTGAACGAATTATACCCATATCAATTTGTGAAATTCATTTGAGCTCTGTGGCACGCGCGTGATTTTTACGATGTTGCACCTACTCGCGCTGGAAAACTAGCAACGCACTTGAAGCCAAAAATATAAAATCAGAAAAGGCGGAATTCTAGAAAGAATTTTTTTAGAAAAATCTATTATCGCTTTGATTTCCGCACACACGCACACACGCACACTCGCGCAGCGCTGTAAACTATTTTCGGCTGAACTTGAAATGCCTACAGAATGTGAGCGCGCGATTGCCAACACGAGCCAGAACGTGCAACAGACGCAACAACAGCCACAGAGAGAAGAGCAACAGCAACAACAAGAGTACGAACATTTGCAAGAGGATCACTTGCAAGCAAAATCAGAAGAAGAAGCAGCGGCAGCACAGCTTGAGTTTTATGACGACATGGAGGACAAAGAGTTGAATGGCGGCAAGATGTCCACCTCCCAGACATCAACTGCGTGCTCAACGAACGGCCACAGCGGCAGCAATCAGGCGAATGGTGTTGGCAAGAAAACGGTAAATTGCATAAACCTACATTCCTACATTTAAAAGTTCTAAGTTTTTATTTTTGCCAAAATTGCTCTAAGGTTCACAATTGAATTATCACTATGTTATTACCACAGCCTTTGGGGTTATATAGAATAATAAGGAAGAGGACGAGTTTGTCCAAAACAAGGTCAGCCATCTAATATTGGAAAAATGTTCAATCTTAATTCCGTCAAATTTTAACTGCTAATTCTGTATAGAAACTATGTATATCGTCTAGAATGTTTACAGTCATGCAGCGGATGGTTTGGAAACCGTTCGGAAAAGCTTAAACTTGTCGAATTTTTTTGATTCAATGTCACTTTCTTTAAATGTTTATTTCACTTACTTTTTGTTTTTTTTTCGGTAGTGAATCCAAACTTATTTTCGTTGAAAAAGGTTTATCTCTTACTTTCTCTCCCTTTTTCATCCAAATTTCACTTAACTCACTCTCATTTTTATAAGTGTTTTTCAAATATACCGTTATTGGCATTTACTCAGTGCTTGAATATGTAAATGAGACGAAAATTCCAGTTTCTCTTAGGTCTATAATAGTACTTAAAGCTCTCGGCAAAGATATTTTCCCATATTGAGAACGTCGGCTACTGCTTCTAAATCGATTCATTCATGATTTAATGATTTAAAAGTGTTACTGCGGCATTTTGCTTTTCACCAATACCTTAACAATATATTTTGTATTCTATATAGATATATATTATGTTCATACACATATATATTTTTTTACCACACGTCATTAACAGTTATGACAGATTATTGTGAGTCTATCTTCGAGTCTAATGATTTGAAGGGATTAACAGAATATTTAGCAAATTGGCGCTAATATGAAACATTTGACTAAGTGATATGAAAAAGTATCGATCTTGCGGTCGCATTAAGTAGCATTATCGTTTTATAAATATTCGCAAATTTTGCTAGTTGCATTTCTTTCTTTCTCTTTGAGAAACTCAATTTTCACTTGCGGTTGCGATATTAATGTTAATTAGAAATCATTAGCCAATCTTCAAATCAGTCCAGCTCAGAAAAGAACCACAATCAATTTTAGCAATCGGCCGATGCCTTAGATAATGCAAAACCAATATTACGCACAATCATCAGAATGCCTTTAGTCAGTGTTCATGCATGTACCTAAGTTTAAGTGCCACTCTTCCGCCTGTTATCATCTGCTCATCTTGAGCATCAATATCCGCTGGCAACACTGCGCCGAGAAGACAGCATTGCCACGAAGCAGCGCATGCTGAGCAGGAAAGAAGCACTTCAAAAGTCAATAAACCACATTAAAACGGCACATTGAGACGCCCTCACAGCGTAGACCGGCCGACAGACTTGCCGCAGAAATTCACCTAGCTGCTCAGACGTGTATGAGTGTAACAATTCCTGTTAATATGTTCCCAATAGGAAAATCAGCTCTGTGTTCAAATATATTTTTCATTCAATAATAAATTCGAAAATGTCTGCCAAGGTAGAGGCTAGAAATGCACACCGTTCTACCAGTATTTTTTAATCACAGTTATTAACGCTTAAACTCAATGTTGACCGACTTTCTGGTAATATCAAGTTTATTTGTTTACTGGGCCACGTCTATATTATAATAATATTTGATAGGAAATCATTACATTTCACTTCTGTGCTCTTCAATCACTACGCAAGAAATCGTTTGACATCTAAGACCATTTAACGATAGCTTACATTCGTTTTGCTAGAGTGAACGTTTATGGAAGTACATAGTCACCTGCAATTTTAAAATTATTTATTTCGAGATTCCTACGAGTGAAGTATTCAATTCTAATCATACCAGTTTTCTTTTGAGAAGGGCGGGTCATTTGATCTATTGTGTGGTTTTTCTGGAGGGCGATTTCAAGCGCCTATTCGTGCGCTGGAATATGCACTCTGCCATTATAACCGTTATAAACATAAGTCACCATTTGGGCGCATTATTTCACTACGCAATTCTCTTTATTACGTTTTTGCTCAGTTCATTAACCATGTATTGCACACCTAAATAGACGAGCTAGCATCCACGTCGAACGCATTTCAAAACGGGGTGTAGAAAATTGAAAACGGGTGACATGTTATATAAAGAGTACCATATGAACTTAAAAAGTGGAACGAACATTTCTTATATTGAACAATTGAACACTCAAGAGCCCATCGAAGGGTTAAAGCTTACCCACACATACTTATTTCAAGTCATTTGAAGCAGATAAAACACCAACCAACCCGTCAGCAAAATGTTAAACACCCTTCTGTCAATGAGGCGTTAAAAACCACACAGCCACATATTATAACAGTAAATTGTCGACAATACTGAATACACGGGTCAAAGTGCACTTGAAGGTAACAATGGGCCAAGCATTTGCACTAAAGTGGAAGGTGATCGAAGTGATGTCGGAAACAAATGAAATCTCCACACATTTCCAAGCGGATTAAAAAATAACACACGAAAAATAACAACAAATATATGAAAAGATAATAATGCAATAAGTAGACACGCGTCAGACCCTACAACACGTTCTGCCAATAAAAAATGCAAATCACCCTGGAAAAAGTGCCGCAGCACCTACGCGCTAAGCTGTCACATACACATATACCCCTTTTCATAAACTTCGCTGTGGCGCACCTCCTACGAGGCTAGACTACAGAATTGTCACAGAGATGCAAATGCACAATATTCTAGGTCAATTATAAAAACACGCCAGTTGCCCATTAACATTTCAATTTTATTTGAGTTTCATTGAAAATATCCCTACATATAAAATGTAATTGTATTTGTTCATATATTTTACAGTCCATAATATCGCCGGATCCCACTTCATATGTGACCAAAGCGCGCGTCACACGCCCCACACCACCGCCACCGTCCTACAACCCGATGCAATTTGTGCAGATCAAACCATGCAATCTCTACCAAACCGCACAGGAGCAGCTAAAGAAGGCTGAAGAAGTGAAAAAGATTAAGGAGATTAAAAAAGAAGAGCCCGAGGATTGGCAGAATGTAAGTAGACACTATCATAAACTTCAATTGGATAAGCTAAGCTTAGATTATATGTATTGCAATGCTGCTAAAACAAAAATTAAATGATAATATTTGATAAAATAATTCAAATCGTTTTTCAGTTTTTATTGCGTCAAGAAGAGTTTAAGTTTTTAATGATCATTGAAGCCAGTTGCATGTCAAATAAACCCCTAAAAATTACCCATTAAATGTTTTGCTGAAAATATCACTGCGATATTCTGTTCTAATTGTTAGCGCCTAATCGACCGGAAACTACTGGCAAGCGAACTGATCAACTCGTTGCTGCTTTGTAAATTTCCGTCAATCAGCAAAGTCAACTCAATAATTTTCTGTTAAAAATATCAAAATTTTCACGAATATTGTTACAACCAAATTTGTTGTTTTGAACGCAATAAAATAAAATGAGAAAATAAAATTGCAGCAGCAAACTAAATGTGGGTGTGTATAATTTAAAATTCGCTAGCGAAAATCGCATTCGTGTAATCGCATATTGTGTAATTACGCAGAGCTCTGCATTTGCCGCACTATTTTTCATTTTTTTTATAATATTATATATTTTCTGTATCTGTTTAAGGCAAAACTAGATAAATATTGCTAATAAAAATTGAAAGGCAGCCGACGGAGGCAGAGCAAGCAGCGAAATCTTAAGCGCGAATCGTGACAAATTTTCGAAAACAGCAGACAAATACGCACAGAACGGCGATAAATGGCGGCAATACGAATGTTGAGCGTGCAATCTTTTCTCTTGTTTGTCAACGTCTTTTCTGCCTGTATCATTGGCACATTTACGCTAAACGCGTCTATGCAAAACGTTTTGAATGCGAACGGCATTAGGCCCATTTGAGCAACTGTTATCGCCATCGAAATTTGGTCGATTCTGTTGCTGCGCGAGTAACAATTACTCAACACTAGCGCTTGCGCTTGCCCCGTTTGCTGCGAGTATTGCATGTTGCAGCAGCATGAAAAATTCCGCTCAGGTATCAAAAGCTCGTAATTTGTGCCTCTGTCCAGCTGAAATGCTCCGGACTTTCGTGTTCGTACTTGTGTTTCCGACTGCATGTGTGTGTGTGTGTTGGCATTTGTGCTTGTTACATTTTTCACTGGGGCGGAGTTAACATACTGGCGCAGACATTTCTATGCTGCCAATATGGCAATTGCTGTTGTTTTTGTTTGCTCACATTTATTGCAGTGGTTATGCAACTTTGCTACACAGTGCTTGCGCTAAACGTGGTAAATGCAAATTTTACCAAATCACACACGCACACACATGTAAATGTGCATTGCAATTGCGCAAAGTACCAAGCAATGTATTTAGTAGTCATACTTCGCGCCATTTGAGTTTTGTATTTACTTTCTTTCTTTTGTTGGCCTTTTTCAGCAGTTGTCACCTCAAGTGATTATTTAATCCAGTTTTTGGCATTTTTTGCTTATTTACTTAAATGTCTGCTGTTTACATGCACAACATCTGCAAGTCAATTGTCAAAAAGCAGCAAAATTAGTTATTGTAGCTCATTAGCCGTACATATTATATAAGTATATTCATACATATTTATTCCCATCCGTTTATGGGAAGACTTACGCAATCGTCATTAATAGTCAGGCCCAGCGTCACTTTGTGTTGTCATCGTTTATTTTCACAGGGTAATAAAACAAATTACGGTTTTCGAGCTTAATTTATTTTTAGCGCAAGTAACAAGCGTCCACAAATGCTTGTATCAAGGATTGAATCCTGTTAGTGTATTCGACGCAAGTCTTTTAAATACTTCAAACCATACTTCGAATCGATGTGGTCTTAGAGAGCGACGTATCAACCAAACAAATTAGAAAAGAGATAGTGTGAGATCATTTAAAGATGCTCCGCCACTAACTAAGACCTGCATTTAATGCCAACAATTCACTAACATCAAACATGGTTTTAATAGCGATCTTCCCTCGATAGGCAAACCTCCGATTGCATTTATATTTTGAGAAATATTATCCCTTTGGAAGCGCCTTACAACTAAAATACTCATCTCTTCATACTTGTAGATGAAGCGCCTAACCACAAATGGCGCTATAATTATTTTTGTTTCGTTCAGTATACATAATCTTATGCTCTGATCCATAACACTGTATAACACTCGGCTGAGTATTGGAGCAAACCAAATTTTTCCCAGAGATTGAGTTCTGTAAAAAAATAGCTCTCCCGTTTTGCACCAGCTATGTTTCGGTCAAGCTTATATGATAGCTGCTATTGGACTCCAACTTTGAAAGAAATACAAATTTTATATTTCAAAAATACTATCCTAAGGTTGAAATCTTAATATTATGATACATTAAATTACATTAATTTTAATTATATTACTTTAATTTATTTTCTTCTGCTCAACCAAATTACTGTCCTTCGACCGCCAACAATTGACCTACATATGAATATATAACATGCTCATGAATTTTAGTTTCTTTTCGTTTAATGAGTTCATATTGTTCACGAAATCCATCAAATCTGTTATAATAGTTTATTGAAGATTTGAGTAAACACAAATTGAAAGTCATTCTCGCATTCCGATACCTTCTTATCGCTTTATTATTATAATTTTCACGATTTTTCCACCGTTTGTCTCCTCTTTTCACTTTTCTGCTTGTAATCACACGTTTCGCAGCTACTGGTTAGGTATTAGTTATGCGTGTGAAAATCAATTAATACGCGCTCTGCATTGTTTGTTCGATTGGTCAATTGGTCCGTTTAGGCTTTGGCGTGCTGACTCGGCTAACTTGACTAGCTTGGCTTACCCAATGAGCTTAGACGGAGTTAGTGCTTATAGGTATGCTTGTTCAAAATGAATTGCGACTTGTGTACATTTGTAATCGACTTCAGTAAATTGTTTGATTTGACCAACTGGTGGGAAAGGAAGTCGTTATCGGCCAAATCGATGCAAACACACTTAAAGTCGTTGCATAAGTCTACTGCAGTGTTTTTTACTAATTTTTCATTGCATATATGTTGTTGTTGTTTCAAATTGCTTATGTTTTTTTATATATATTTTACTATTTATCGTTTGTCATTAGCAGCTTATTGTTGTCTTTCTCTCTTTGGTGTAAACTCTACTAGTTTAAACATTGATACTATTTTGTATGTTCTTTTGTCAAAAATTAAAATTATTGCTTTCCTTTTGAACTTACAGAATTTGGATAATTGGAAATCGTCACGTAGAAAACGTGTCGAACACATCATCGATCGAGTTGTGGAAGTAAAAAAACTGGAATTGGAAGAACACGACCGGACACGAAGAAAATCGAAGACGTTCTCCGAAATGATCGAAGAAAGGTGAGAAATATTGAAATAGGAAAGAATATAATTATGTGGCTTGCTCGCCAAAATTTGACTTTAAAGATAGATATTCCAAGCACAATATTTTAGAAAACTGTTCCAGCACTATTTTTATATGCATATATTACTTACAACAACAAATGCCATTTTCATTACAGAGGTGAACGTGGTTGTCGAGGTCGCGCAAAATTGGCCACGTTAGCCGTTTACAATGAAGACGAATCGAATGACCTGAGCGACCTTGGCATTGGCACCAGCAGCGCCAGCGGCAAGAGCAGCCAATCGGAGGATTACGACAACAACAGTGTACTGGTAAGTTTTATGAAGAATAAACTATTCATTAAACGAGTTTAGGACTGCATTCAGGCAAATTACAAGCGACAAGTACTCAATCGCATTGATGCTTGAGCAAATGAGATGCAAATCTGAAATGCCCCTAGCCATCAAAAAAAATATTTGATTCACAAGAATAGCTTGGCGTTGTTTTCGGTTTTCCTGCAAGCTCTGTTTTACATTTGGAGTGTGTTTTCGTGAATATTTCTTTTCTAAATTTATTATGGAGCATTCTCACTGCCTTAACAATGAACATGGAATTGGGTCAGTGCTGAAAAAGCGTTAATTATCTTTACTTCACACATATTTTATAGCACACACACACATACAGCTGAATATAAACCGGAAGTTATGCTCAAAGTTAAATTAGCAGCAGCTTTGTTTGTCCAACTGTGCCAGAGCCTCATTAGCCAATCGTTAATTTTTCTGCTTCTCCGGTTTCTTGTTATTGTGGTCGCTAACTACTCTCCTAACTTTACAGTCACAACTGCCTAATTTTAGCAAACTTTTTACACAAATGTGCCCGTGAGCCGCTGACATGTTGACGTTTCCTATTGCACTTTTAGGGCGTTTACTTTGAGCACAATTAGCCGCTAGATATACAAGAGAAATATTGAAATAGGAAAGAAAGGCAAGTTATATTAAGTTTCTAAACTATTATTTCGAGCAGTAATAACGTTCTTAAAGCTAAACTTCTCAACATAAACCTAGACGTTGATTTTAAAATATTCCCAGGCACATAAAATATGTTGGCACAAGTCATTCAGGGCTTGAGACTCTAAACCAAAACAAACTAAAGATGTATTTTTGATATAAAATTTATATCGCGCAAATTCCTCATCGCTGAGTTAAACGTATATATCAAGATTCCTCTCTTAAGAAAGGGTGATGTTTATGAGATATATATACCTATATATATTTTTTTTTTTTGATTTTTTTAATACATTGTCAATAAACTAACCATGAGGGCATTCTTCGGTTATCATGGTGGCTCGTCACATCTCCGCTCTATGGCCATATCGTAATTTTATGATGGCAAATAATTTTTTGTCGTTTATTGACTGATCGTTTACAAGGGCACCGGCGAACTGCACAGTTTATAAACAATAGCTGATATCAAAAGTCAAATACAGCAAAATTGAATTAGTCACAATATTCTTAAACAATATCCCGTCCGTCAAACAAATAATCACCAATAAACGTATGAGGCATTGCGACAGCAGGTATATCAATTGAAATCAAAACGAAAGCGTAAAATCAATTAAATTGCTGAAACGTATTCGAACATTTTGCTTCTCCAATTTACATATAGGTATATACATACATATGTATACCCTGCCTTTTCCCTTGTTTTTTTCATTACCAAATTCTGTGTACTTTTATATTGTTCGAAATTCGTTTCGTGCGCTTGCTGAACATTTGTTCTGACGGATCTTTTGTTATTCGCAATAGTTGAGAGCATGTCGATCAGCTTAACGAACAATGCTCACGTTCTACATGACATCGTTGAGAGCAGTCGTGATACTACTACAACAACTACAGCATTACACATTAATTTAGAAACTGCGTAAATACTCGTGGAAGTTTTAAAGAAACACAAAAAAGAATTTAACGATCACCAGCATCACAGCTCCACGCCAGATGCTCCAATCTGTTTTGAACAACTTTATAATTGTCTATTCAAACTGTATCCCTGTTAACGGCAGCTAATAACCCATTGATCGTGCGAAGAACACTTGGGGTTCGCACTTGAGTTATATGCCATGAAAAGATATTAGATGACATAAAGAGTATCCCCTCTCCATATAATGGATACTGGAGAAAGTATAGATTTTTAACAAAACCAAGAATTAAAAAAGCTTTGAGTGTTGCTTTCTTAGGCTACATAATAAATTTATGTTTTCTTTAAATTCGACTAAATCTGTACTTATATTATATTTTCATCTACAGAGCGACAACGCCGAACTCGACAAAGCCATATTTGAGAACAACCAAAAACCCAGTGGCATCCCCGCGCGCGAATACATCTCCTCTCCCGGCTACGATACCTCCTCCAGCACCGCGCCAGGCAGTTCTCCCGATCCATGCGAATACACTTATGAGGGCGCCATTCAAGACTACAAGCAACGCGTTTCGCGCGCCAGCGGCGGCAGTGCTTTAGCCAATTTCAAGCTCCATAACGCCAATACAAACCCGGCGTTAATATCCAAAAGCAACTCTTCGAAAGAAAATACCCCGGAATGCAGCAATACAGCGCCGAACGATACTTACCCCACACGTCGCGGCAGTAAAATCGAGGATCGCCTAATCGGCTTCGAAGTTACTTCACCCAGTGATAGTCAAGAGGGTTTGGAGAAAAAAGTTGATGTACCAAAAATCGATATTTCGAAGCGTAAAGAGATTTTCGAAAATCAAAATGCCAATTCAGAACCAAAGTCGCTGGTGGGCAATAGTAGCGCTGGCACCGTAGCAGTGCCACGCGTTACACTGCGTGATCGCTTCAAGTTGGACGAGAGTGTGTCTAATAATGGCGAGGTACAAGACTCCACATTGAAGCGTGAAGTTAAACGCCTATCAGGCGACATCACAAGCATACGATCGCGTATGCAAAGCCTAGAGCAACAGCAAAATTTAGTCAATTCTACGAATGGTGGCAGTGCCGGTAAGGCACCCAGCGCAAAATTAGTCGACATACCAGTGCCACCATTGAAGGATCGTCTGTCTAGTTTACAAAATGCTGTAACCAAAGAAGAGGTGAAAAAGGCGCCGGTAGCACTTGTCGATGCCCGCCAGCTGGAGATAATGAAGAACGAAGAGGAAGAACGACGCATGAAACTAATTGGGAATGAGAAGAAAGCCGTGCAGGAAATAAGCAATAAAGAGAAGGAAGAAGTAAGTGCGCCCGGATACCAAACCACGATGACACAACACGTGGTGGTTAAAATCGATGCGCCCGAGGAGGATGTCGATCGTGACGACAGCGGTATTCACACCGCCGAAGGCGAAATCGAAGCGAAGGAAATTTCCGAGCAGGAAGAACAACTAAATGCGGCTATTGCAGCGTTGGCACTGGAGGAGCAACAGCTAACCGAAGCAGCAAATGCAGTGAACCAAATAGAAGCGGAGTTTGCCGAGCTATCCACCAGCGCAGTGAACGCCATCGCCAGCAGCCTGAACACAGTGTCCACCACAAAAACAACTAACGAACAGCCATGCGAAATGGAATTTAGTGTAAGTTCTACTAACAAATCATTGCTTGAACCCTCTATATCTAGTAGTGTAAAAAGTAGTTTTGAAAATACTATTGATGATAATGGTAATCGTAGTTTTGGTGAACAAGTAGCTAATATTGAAAAAGAACAGCAGAAAATAAATAACTTAATTGATTCTAAAGCTGAACAGGAGGTGTCGGGTAATACTTTAACAGTTGCTACGCCTTCTACTTTGCAAAGAAAGCCTTCGAACGAGATGGTGCACGCGCGTAATCTGCTGCGTATGTTCAAAGAGACCTTTAAGAGCGACATTGAATTAGACGAAGCACAAGAGCATGAAGTGAAGCCAATCTCTGAGTTCCCCATGTGCAGTGGTGCAATACCTAAAGTTCGACCACCCACAGAAATTGAAGCCCCACTTTCACCAAAACCGATGCAAATTTCAAAGGCAATCGACCGTGCACAAACACCCACCGCATTCACTGTGGGCGATGATGCTCCCATTAGTACGCAAATATTTCAGTCTTCAACCGTAGCCCCTTCGATTGTATCACCACATTCTCCTTTACCCTTCACCCATGGCGCTTCGCCGATCACTATACCGCAAACACCACCATCTGCGTCGGCAGCACGCGCACCAACACCCCCACCACGTTCTTCACCGAGCGTGCTTATATCTAACGGTTTCTCCATGATACCACGTGCTGTTAATCCAATTGGCAAGCCCCCTATGTCACCAAAGTCGGTCCGTTACAATATCAAGAGTCCCATTAACAGTCCACCTCCCGTACGCAAATCACCCGACGATAGTCCGTTTAGCATCAATGGTCGTGTTGAAATATTCAACTCGAAGAATATGAACAGCAACCCAACCGGGAAACCTCCGACGCCAACAATGATGGCAAAAAAATCATACGTGCCACATTATGGTGCAACAACGACACCGCCAACATCACCACAACTCGGTCGGTCGCCCTCGCCCATGAATTTTACGCATTATGGCGGTATTGAGTTTCCCAAGCACCAACAACGGCAACAGTCGCATACAACAGTGACCGCATTACCCGAGACCGGTGAAGCGATGCCAGTTTCTAATCAAAAAATGCAAACAACAGCTGCGTTAAATGAGATGAAATCCATTCCAAGCGCGCATGCAGTCAATGAACCTTCACATGAAGTCCGACAAGCAGATGTGACAACTGTGCCATATAAATCACAACAACAGCAACAAGATCACACTGAAGTTATTATGTGTGCACCGCCAGTAACCATCTTGAATCCGGACGAGCTGCCGAAACCCAACACCGTTAAATCGCTTTCCAATTGCTTCTCGCAAGATGTGGCATCTAATCAGCAAGTCGGTAAGATGACACCACCACTCCCGGGGCCGAAGCCTTTGCCACGCAGTCGCATACCGCAAACGCCACCACAGTCGCCCACACCAGCAAAAAGAAATTTCTTCAACTCACCCACAAGCAGGGAAACTACTGCAGTGGTGAAAGAGGCAACAAAAGCAAATAGTAGATTAGAGCAGGAACCGCAAGCCAAAACGATGGTAACAGCCGAGTTAACACTAGCATCGCCCAACCCAGATGAATTAAAAAAACTTTCTATTATCTCAGAAACATCAACGGTTTCAAGTGACTCCACTGCTTACATAGGCCCTTTCGAAACCACAGCCCAGATACACTCACCCCCATTTAAAGTTGAGAAAAGCGAACAGTTGAATCGCTCAATTCTTAAACCTTTACCGCTTGTACGCGCCACCCCATACTGCGCAAATAAGTCAGCAGCGGCTGTGAGCTCTGCTGGCGATCCTTTAAAGCCCAATGACTCATTAACACCCGTTATAACAATGCCTTCTGAAATGCCTCCACTAGTGGCGTGCAAACCGAATGTGTCTACACTCTATAAGCTGGCCACACCACCAGCATCACCACATTCACCGCTCTCGCCCACTGATGTGGCACTTTGCAGCAACTTCCTCGACTCTTTTGAACCCACAAGCTCATTCTTGCCCAGAAGGCAGAAGACGGTTGATGATTCGCCATGTGACAAGCTTGACGTGAATGATTTACCCCCTAACAGGCGTCCTCCTTGCACATTCTACTCCGACATCAGTCCGAAAAAGGTACGCGAATGTGATGACTCTGGTAAACCGGCTGAGATTGTGCTCAAGTCAACGATACCGCAGACTCAGCGGCAACAGACGGTAGAAGAGAAAATCTGTCAAAAGATTGACCTAAATGATCTACCACCTTTCGACCAGGTACCATTAACAGGCTACGAAGAAGTAACCGCCGAACAAGTGCGTCGTTGTGACGGTCTCTTAGCAAAATCGCCAAACAAGCGGAGCCCGCCCAGTACACCGACATCTGCAAAAAGTATAGCCACCACGCCGGACACACCCGACACAATAAAGAACATAGCAGTAACCCCAAATATGTCTGCGTCCACTGCAAATAACTCAAAATCAAATAACTCGCATCCCAGCTCCAAACCGAACTCGCCAATAATGGCTGCGCGAGCCGCACACTCCCGTGCGTTGATTGAAACCTGCGAGCGCATCATCGCCGAAGAACGTCTGCACAGTAGCCACTTAAAGTCGGTGTTACCAGTCGTCGTCAGTAGCAAAAACAACGGCACACCCATTTTACACCGCAAGTCCAAAATTCCTAAACCGATACCCTGCTGCATCAGCGGCTCGGACTCCATGAATCAGGCCGATCAGCCAGGCAAACCAGTACTGAAACAGAGCAGTGGGCCACCCACGCCTGAATCTTTAGATGAAAATATGATAGTTGGGCGTCTGCACGTGGTTGAGACACAAATTAAGGTGACCACCACCACTCCGCCGCCATCACCAACCGTCACAACTAAAGCAAGCGCAAAAGCTATATCAAATCCAAACACAAAGAAAACAAAAAATATATTTGACTTCTTGCGGAAGAATTTCGGACTTGGCGACGACAACGCGTCAACGGTTGCACCAACTGCAACGAGCACAACGGTGGATGTGGCACCAGTGACCGATAAAGACGTAGTGAAGGTGGACGAGATAATCACTGTGGAAAACTCGAAATTCTATATACCTTCAGATGATATGCCACCACCACCGTTACCGCAGACGCCAGCGCCTGTCAACATCGAAATAACAAAGACTATCACCACGGACGAAATTGTTGAGGAGGGCAACAGCGAACAGGCTTTGGTGCAGGAAATCAACGATATGTTAGACGATGAGTTGAATAAGTTAGCGACGGAGAGTGCTGCAAGCGTAAACGGGGTTACGAGTGTCGACACTGTAAAATAGGGTTGTTATTTGTTAATGATGATCCCCAAGAGCTAATTCTGCCTCGGTACTACTCAAATGTTTTCATTGTCATTCAAATATACTATAATACAAAAATTGGTAAAATTTAAATAATTTTTTCCGATACGCTTGTAGCGAGCTTATGCTTCTCTAAAACCGCGTCTTAAACTTTAATGCATATAATGAATTTTCTGGGCCTCAAACTTACAACCCCCAATAAGCTTTAATGATTCTAAGCTAAAATTACATTTTCTGTATTTCATTTGAAGAAGCTCTTTCTAAAAGCTCTGAGTATCTGCCAATTTTAACTAAAGTTACTTCAAAGTTTCTCAGTCTCTACAACTACTCACAAGAACACTTGTTAGATTAAAATAAAACAATTTAATTTCTCGTTCAGTCGTTCAACCCCACTCACACACTCAATCGTGCGACCACAAGCTCGTTCGTTTCTTTGACTGAATCTACTCACAGTTATTCTTTTGTAAATTATTTTCTGTAAATGTATCGTAAAGAACTTTTTATTCATTTTATAATAGTAAAACTTTTTTGCAAAACTCGAATATATTCTGTAACTTCGCTCATTTTCAGAAGCCACAACTTTTAGACACAATAAGTTAAATTTGAAAAAATGCGAAAACGAAATCTATAAATACTCGTTTTTCTAAAATACATCTGCTATAAGTTCTCTTTTTAATTTCATATTTTTTATAAATGTTTAGTTATTTAATGTCGAAGCGCTTAAATTTTTGTCGCATAACCACTATGATTGAATATCAAAAGAAATGTATACTATGTAACAGTAAACAAATATGCAACAAAATAAACCGTTTTCATTGTAATTATTTTTCTAAAAACTGAAAAAAGTTTTTTCTTTATTTCACTATTCACACATTTTTGCATTTTTCCCATTTGCTACAATCATATTCTCATAATCATTTTCACACACATTTTTATCCGCATTCCTCGTTTCTTTCATTACTACGCTAATGGCAATCAGTGTGCCTCAACTCTGACTTTCAGAAAGCTTTATGGGAGTGGTGAATTCTTTTGAATCTAAGCTTTTGCGCTTTTATGCTTAATTTTTATTTTTTTAATTTGGTTTTTAAAAGCTCTAAATGTACCTTTGTGTGACACTGTTAAAATGTGTGCAGTGAGTATTTCGAATCGAAATCTGAATACAGTAAAAACTCGCTAATTATAAATTCGCAAACCTATATTTAGAATTTAACTAGCAGCCTAGTCTTATAACTTCCAAAAAAGAATTTAAAATTCCAATTAAGAATAATAAATGTGACGTATAGATCAGTAAGTGATCGTTAAACAATTGAGAGAGAATGCATTTACCGCACACAGTGTATTCATGAAATCGTTTGGCAGGTTGTATTTTAATTTTTTTGGAACAAATTTTTATTTGATTAATAGTTTATCCGTTTCTTAATTATGAGTATTATTTACTGCAATTCATTTTAATTTTGTTGTACTGTATCCTGTTTGCTTTTGTTTAACTCTCTCTTATTTTTCTTCGGTTTTTCTTTTTTCGAAACTAGATTTTTCGTGAATTACCGCTAGTCATAAATTAATGGTTCAACAGTCGGAATACTAGAATGTACGCGACTTCAACATTTCTCAGTATTTATTAGCTCAAATTTTCAGTTTATTATTCCGAATCGAAATTTTGAAGGTTTTTTTTTAAATATATTAAAATA